CTTTTACTTGATTTACTCTCTCATTTTTAAATGCGTTTCTTGTAAACAACATATTGTTGGATTATGATTTTTAATACATTCTGCTATCCATTTTCATTTTATGGGTGAGTTCATCCCATTCATATTCCAAGTTATAATTACTAGTTTTGCATTTCCCTCCATTCTATTTTCATCACTGTTTATCCTTTTCTCTCTCTCTTTTTACCCTATCCCTCCTCAAACATTTAATTTACTTCTAACAGTAATACTGCCTCCCTAATCCTCTCTCCTTCTAAAAATCCCTCCCTTATCCTCTACCCTTGCTCTGTTTCTTGATCTGCACATCCATTTAAGAGTCCCTCCCTTATCCTATCCCCTTGCCCTCCTATTTCTCTGTAAGTTAAGAAGGCGTTTACATCCTTCTGAATGTATATGTTATTTCCTCTTCAACCCAGTTCTGATGAGAATAAGGTTCTAGCACTACCAGCTCTCCACCCCCTCCTGCTTCCACTGTAACAGCTCTTTTATTCATGCCTCATTTGTATGTGATAATTTCTCCATTTTACCTCTCCCTACCCAATTTTATTTTTTAGGATCATCCCCAAGCCTTCTTATGCTCTTTCAAACTACCCAAGTAATAATAACATTCTTAAGAGTTACAAACAACATTTTCCCAAATAAGAAGTAAGCACTTTGATCATATTAAATCCCTTATAATTGGTTTTTAATGTCTACCTTCTTATGTTTCTCTTTAATCTCGTATGTCCAATTTTCTGTTCAGTTCTGGTCTGTTTTTTTTTCATTCATCTGATTTTGTTTTATTATTTCTTGGTGTCTTATGAAGTCATTAGCTTCTCCTTGCCCAATTCTAATTTTTAAGGAGCTGTTTTCTTCTGGAAGTTTTTGGATCTGTTTTTCCATTTTCATAATTTTCTTGCATTACTCTTATTTTTTCCCTAATTTTTCCTCAGTTTCTCTTATTTGATTTTTAAAGTCCTTTTTAAGCTTTTCCAAGAATTCTTTTTGGGCTTGTGACCCATTTTTTTTCTTTGAAGTAGAAGTAGCTGTTTTAATTCCACTATCCTCTTCTGAATTTGAACCCAGATCTTCTCTATCACCATAATAACCATCTAAGGTCGGCTTCTTTCTCTTTGGCTTATTCATTTTTTATAGGTTTGTTTCTTGCCTATTAACTTTGTGTGTTAGAGTCAGGCTCTAGTCCTGAGGTGTTGGGGATAAAGTCTCATGCTTCAGGTTTTTGGTGCTGTTGTTTTCTGAGCTCTATCCGGGGCCTGACCTCAGGTACTTCTTTCGGGCCCAGGGCCGCTAGCAACCCCGTCACTGCAAACACTCTTACTCCCTTCAATCCGTCCATGGCTACAAGTGTCAGCTCTGCCCTCTGGCCCGGAACCACAACCAGGGACTTCGCTCCTCTCCGAGGGCCCACGGCTGGCAGGGCCCAGCTCTCCCTTACCACACTCACGGCGCATGCTCACTCCTCCCGCCTGCTGCAACAGCCTGGGGCCATGTTTGGTCAGGGGCTAAGGCACCACATCCTGGGTTGCGGAGGGCCGCGGAATCTTCTGCTGATCAGCTGTCCGACCCGTACACTGAGTCGGGGTGAAAGTTCCTGAAGCTTAAGGTGCCCCCAGCTGTCCCCAGGGCTTGTTGTTTGTTGATTCAGCGGTAACTGCCTTCAATCAGGCCAAACCACCCTCTGGGAGGTTGGGTCTTTCCAAACTTTGGCCCAAGCTGTCTCAGGCCACCTACTGCTTTACCCTTACTTTGCCCAAAACATCATCCCTGCTTCCATTGGTTCTGCTAAGGCTGTAGGCAAGGTCATATCTGATGGGAATGGGAAGCTAACAGACATGACCTTCTGTGTCCCTACTCCTAATGTATCTATTATGGATCTGACCTGCCACCTGTAGAAACCTACCAAATAGGATGACATCAAGAAAATGGGGAACCAAGCTTCAGAGGGCCCCTTAAAGGGCATCTTGGGCTACCCAGAGGACCAGTTTGTACCCAGTGACTTTAACAGTGACATCTACTCTTCTGCTTTTGATGCTGGTGGTGGTATTGCCCTTAATGACCATTTTGTCAAGCTCATTTCCTGGTATGACAATGTGTACATTTATAGACCTCGTGGGACATGGTCTCCAAGGAGTAAAGTGTAAAGCCATGGACCCCCAGCCAAAAGAGGAGTTCCATCACTGGGTAGCCCAAATCCCTAACCTTTTCCCCTATACAGGGTATGCCATGCCCCAAAGGACCCCTGTATTAGAGGGGGAGAAGTATAGAGTCCTATGTTGTGTACCATCAATAAAGTCACCATATTCAGTGCAAAAAAAGAAAAAAAGAATATCTATTGCTTAGATTTCAATGTGCATATGAATAGATACCATATGGTATATATACATATATATCCAAATTTTCATTCTCTCTCTCTCTCCACATATACATATATATGTATATATATGTATATATGAAATGGTGATCCCTGACTCTACCTTATCTTTCTAAACCAATTCCACATTATTCTCCCAATGCACTCTACTTTCCAGGCAAACTGGTTTACTTGTTATTTCCCATACCTGACATTCCATCTCTCACCTATGTGACCTTGAACAAGCTCCATGTCCAGAATGCTTCCCCTTCTCCTCTCTGCCTCTTGGAATCCCTAGATCCCTTCCAGGCTCAGCTCAGGAAGACCTGGGTTTAAAACTCTTTTCTGTATGACCCTGGCAAGCCAGTTAACATCTTTAAGCCTCAGGCAACTCTCCAGGACTACAGGCAATAGCTAGATTGTGATCAGTGTTAATGGAGAGAGCCCCTATTCTGGGAGTTCATGGCCTAACAAAGCCATGAGTCCTTGATTTATTGATGTCAGTTATATCCAGAGATGCTCCCACCAGTGGAAGCTGTGTCTGTTTTCCTTAAATCCGTAGCAGACTATTCCACATTGATTCCTGAAAACCTGAAGCCTGGAGTTTGTATGGGTTTAAAGTATAATTTTGTGTTGCCTCTTTGTATTTTATGAGTCGGAAGACATTTCATGTAATAATTCGGCTCCTTGGTTTCCTGTAGTCTCTACTGATGTTTGTATTTGTTGCCAATGATTTACATGGTCTGAGACCTAATGTAATGACTTCCCAGTGCAAGAACCATTGGTGATCCTGTGGAGTGCTAATCTGTCATTTGGCAACCTTCTGAGGGCTGGGGTCCCCATTCAATCAGCAAAATGGATCAGGGTGCCATTAATTATGGCCCATCTTCCCACTATCCCTGACAACTGCTATGTCTCAGTTCCCTTAAAACTCAATGAAAGCAATATTGTTTTTCCATAAACATGTCTTCAGTAAATAGAGGCCTTGTTTGTATGATCATTCATGTCAAGGTTAGCATGTTTCAGCTGTACATTTCAAATGTATGTGTTCCAGCATACCATTAGTGCCCAAGTTGACTGACAGGTTATCATACTTTTAGGAACTTATCACCAAACAGTTATTAAGCACCAACTATGCACAAAGTCAGGGGTTTTTCGCATAATGAATAGCATTTGGGGATAGGAGTCAAGAAGACCTGGGTTCAAATCCTGCTTCAGACACTTACCAGCTCCATTAGTGTCATTTCCCAAGCAAATCATTTTCCCTTTTATGTGCCTCAGTGGGGCTCCCAAGAACTTAACCTATTAAGTCACTGATCTATATTAGACCTTAGGATCTGAGATTACATGGACCTAGAGCTGGAAGGGACTTCTGAGGTCATTTAGTTTAACTACATTCATTTTACTGATGAGAAACCTAAGGTCCAGGGGAGCACATCAGGAATTGCTGACACTGAAGAAATCAGCGATCTTTTGTGTGTTCTCATAACCCTGGGCTGGGCCCTGGACAAGATAAAAATTTACCGAAGATACCATCCCTGCCCTCATGGAACTTTAGTGAGGAGAGATACTGTATGCAGGAGATGGTCCTTGAGCTGACTCTTGAAAGGAACCAAAGATTCTAAGAGGTGGAAGGAAAGAAGGAAGGAAGGAAGGAAGGAAGGAAGGAAGGAAGGAAGGAAGGAAGGAAGGAAGGAAGGAAGGAAGGAAGGAAGGAAGAAAGGAGAGGGAGGAAGGAAGGAGAGGGAGGAAGGAAGGAGAGAGAGGAAGGAAGGAGCATTGCCCACATGGAACTAACTGGCCAGTTGGGTCCTCGGTGGGGCAGCTGCTGCTCCAGACCATACCAGGAGAGTAAGGGAGTCGGCCGCAGAAAGTTCACCCGACACCCGCTGAGGGCCAGTGGGCCCTGGGCCTCCAGTCAATCTGAGCTTGGGTGGGGGTAGGAGTCCCCTTCTTGGACAGAAACCAGAAGAGGGGCTGCTATCCCGCCATCTCCCAGGGGAGACAGAACTCCCCAGATGTCCGCTGGTCATTCACCGTGTCTGAGCTTTCCCAACGGCCACCCTGGCCGCCCCCTCCCCGTTGTTCCGGGCTCCTTCTCGGACCTTAGCAGACTGAGGTGAAGGGCAAGCCTTTCCCAAGTCGGTGTCCGGAGCCTCCCGGTCCCCAGGGCTCCCCTTCCCCCCTCTTTGGCGTCCTACGCCCCCAGGCTCCTAGGTGCAGACTGTCGGGCTCCCTGGGTAAGGGTCTGAGCAGCCCATTCACCCCGAGGCTGACCCCGTGCGGGCCATGGGCTTGGTAAAAGGAGACGAGAAGTGCACGTGGTTGGCGGCGCTGGCGGGAGAGAGCAGGGTCCCGAGGCTGGTGCTGCCGGGGTGACCAGGTGGCCAGTGGTGGAGCCAGGTGGGTGATGAGCGTGGGGGTGGGCTACGGGAGGCCATTTCCTTCTGTGTGGTGGCCCCGTCGGGCAGTGTGCTGAAGCCAGGGCCCCCCTGTGAGAATGGTGTTTTGAAGGTCGGCAATGAAATCAGCGGAATGAGAAAGGAAAACAATGACGTGGGCATAATTCTAATCCTCGTCCAGCCTCCTAGTGTGCATTGAGTACGTTCTTGGGGGTCGTTGGAGGTACAAGGGCCCCGTGGCGCAATGGTAGCGCGTCTGACTCCAGATCAGAGGGTTGTGTGTTCGAATCACGCCGGGGCCAAATTTTTCTTTTTCCCCCTCCGGCTGTTCACGCGGGTTGCGTGTACCCGAGCCACACTGGGACACACTGGGACACACTTGACCCCAACATAGTGATGTCATTTTGGTCCTCTTGGAGAACCAAGGATGACAACCAACCAACCAACCTAGTGCCTACTATATGTCTTTTTGTTGCCAGCGCCCAGCACTGTGCCTGGCACATAGTCAACATTTAACAAACGGTTAGTGAGTTGAATTAAAATAGACAAATAGATTCTGTCTGCTTCTGTTGACAATTCAGTTCAAAAGCAGCTCCTGAGAATCCTGTATCCTGAGCTGCATTGAACAGATACACACATGGATGTTTCAATTTTGTAAAGGTCATGGTATTTTGCTCTTTCTCTCCTGGAAGCTAGTGGCTTTGTTTTACTTATTTTACAGTGGCTGGGACATACTCCTTTTGAATTTGCAGACATTTATGGATTGCCTTCCGTTTCCAGGTTCTTAGGGATTCTATAGCTTATGATGAGGAAATTGAATTGAGTAGTATTGAAATTTTCAAATGAAATGAAGCTAGAACTTGGAAAGGGACTGAAAGTGAGAGCCTCATTCAGCAATGAGTTCTTATGATGCTATTATCATAGTGACAAGTTCTCTCTTAGTCCCAGAAAGGTCTCTGAGAGGCCATTCAGCCAAATGGAGACAAAGCAGCCTGAAATAGTAAGACCAATGTTGGGTGATGGAAAGCCTAGAATGTGCAGTGAATCCAGGGAAATGAGGGCCTCTACCACAGCTGCTTTGGCCTTAGAAGGAAAACCCCAAGTGGGTGAAAAAGCAAAACAAACCCAAACTCCATTGGAACTGAGACAATGTTGGCATTCCAAATTCCTGAGCCCAAAGGGGGTGGGGTAGGACAAAGCAGAGGGCTAGACATTAGGACTATGTGACCTTGAGCAAGTTGCTTCCTTTGTTCTGGGCCTCAGTTTCACCATATGTAAAGTGAAAAGAATGGACAGGATTCTTTTTCTTTTAAAAAATTTGTATTGTCCAAAATATTTCCCTACACCTCTGATGCACAATATTACATAGTAAGGGCATTAGAGAAGTGCAGAACAAGGGGGAGGGGAAAGGGGATCCATTCAAAATTGGAAGGAGCAGAGAACTACAGAATAGGATTCTGGGAACTACAGAATAGAATTCAGGGTATTGAAGGGACTTTATTAGAGGCCCCTCAGGATACTGCCTGACAAGAGTATAGAACAATGGTTAAAGCCATTAGATTTAGCAAAAAAAAACCCCAGCAAATATCAAATTCTGATAAAATGAGAAAATCAGCATCATTTCCAATGGCTTCAGTGATGTAGCTGTGATTTAAATAGAAAATACAAGCATCTGATTAGCCTTATGAATGCATTCCCCCATAATTCCTATTACCCATCTATCCACTGAACACCCCTATACCAGAATTAATTCAGCTAGGTGACACAATGGATTGTTGTAGGGATCAAATGAAATAATACATGGTGTCCCAAAAGTCTTAGTGCAGGTTTAAGCTAAATGCACTGACTTTTGAAACACCCTATATTTGTAAAGTGCTTTGCAAACCTCAAAAGTTACAAAATAATCTTTGTAAAGTGCTTAGCACAGTGCTTGACACATAGTAGATGCTTAATAAGTGCTTATTCCCTTATGCCTCTATATAAATGTTAGATGATAATAATAATAATAATAATAATAACAATGGTTCCTTTGAATAGATGCTGATTGCAGAGTCACACACATACACCAGCTCTCCTTTTCTTCCCCCTCCCCAAAGTGAATAACCTTCTAGCTGGGTGTATGAATTATGCAATGAGGTGCACCCCAGAGAAACCCTGTTGCTCATAAAGAATTTGGATTTATAGGCAGAATCATAGACCAAGGGACTTAGGGATCTTCTGGTACAACCTCTTCATTTTAGAGACCCAATGATGGGAAAGGCTTTGCACAAGGTCATCTAGCAATTCAGTGGCAGAATTGTAATCCCTACTTTACTCAGGAGTTGAAACCAAGGCACAAAAAGGTGGAGTGACCTCTCCAAGGTGACAGACAAAAGGAAGCAGTAGCTGAGCTTGGATTAGATCATGAGAGGAGGACATTGGAGGATGTGGGTTATTGGAAGTCTACTTTGGTGCTACGTGCAGTCTGATATTCTGAAAAGGGGGGGGGAATCCTTATTAATGTTAAGCCTCTATTTTACTCTAGAAGGGGTAACAGTAAATGAGAATAGTGTTTAGATCAATTAATCAACAAACATTTAGTAAATTCCTACTATGTGCTGGGGATCGTGAATGACCAAGAGCCACTTTTGACCATGTCAAATTCAGTGTTTGTAAGAAAATGTCCAGGAGGGCGCCACCTAATGACTTGTTGAAGTTCCTTCACAGCTTACGCTTACTAGACAAGACCTATGGAATTGCATTTAACCCTGGCCCTTAGGAGAAGCAACTGGAAGAAGCAATTATGAACTGACCTTTTTACCTCCAAAAGAAAAATACCATAGCTCCCCCTTGTGGTGTGTCACCTCAAACACAGCCCGGAGTGTTCTATAGCACGTTGCGTCTAGAACTAACTTATCAGAGCTGGAAGTTCAACTTGCTGTTCAACTGCCTCATTTTAAGTATGGGGAACTGAGCCCCAAAGATGAGTGGGAACTTGATCAAGGTCACACATATAGATAGTGGCAGAGTTGGAACTTGAACCCAGGTTACCAGTGTAGGACTTTCTCCATCTCTGGCATCCTCAATTGATCCCCAAATAAGAATTTTTAGTAAATGTTTTAATAACAAGGGATAGAGAAACTAAAGAAAATCAGTCCCAAGCATTGTGTTCAGGCCATTCACATTTTTTTGTTTGTTTTTTTGTGGTTTTTTTGCATGGGAAAAAATAAGTAGCCATTCACAGACCTAGACTTCGAATGGGTCTCAGAAGTCTTCTAACCGAGTTCCCTCATTTAACAGGTGAGGAAACTGAGGCTCAGGGATGCAAAATGATTTGTCCAATGGCATTCAGGGAGTACGTACATCAGAGGCAGGATTTGGACCCAGGGCCTCTGACTCCAGAAGTAGTGCTTTATATTGGCCCATCCTGCCTCCATGTTCTCCCTCCAAGAATAATAGCAATCCTGTCTCTAGTGCTTTATGGTTCACAGAGCACTTTCCTAAGAAGAGAACTGTTAAGGCCACAGGACAAGGAACATTATACCCATTTTAAAGATGAAGGTCAGAGACAAAAGTGATTTGCGCAAAGATACATAGCTAGCATGTTTTGGAAGCAGAATTTGAATCTAGGACATGCCCAGTGATCTTTTTTCTACAATACCCTAAGCAGTTAGCCAGCCCCACCTGATGAATAGAAAAAAGCTCTAGGAGGTCTTAGGTATCACCAAGAAGAGTTCCCATCACCTCAAAAGAATGTTGAGCATCAGGGGCAGATGTAAGGGGTAATCAGTGTAATGATTAATGAAATGTGTCTTAGCAAACAAAGGATAAAGACAGTCTCTATTCCATGTCCCACCCCCAGGTATTTAATCTCATTCTCCCAAAGTCCATGCCAAAACTGTTCCTACAAAACAGAAAATTGGGATGAGTACCCTAGGCCCTGAGCTTTAGGGAGCTCAGAGGCTGAATTGGTTGGTAGTTAAAAAAAAAATTCAAGTTTATGGACCTCTTCCTCAGGAAGTCATGCTAGTAGTCACATCTTTCCCTGCCTATCTCTCTGCCTGATATTTAGAATTAAGGAATTTAGAGCCAGAACTGTTAGAGATGGAGGAAACAAGGGCTCAGGGAGCCTCTGTGACTTGTCCAGGGTCACATAGCTGGTAACTGGCAGAGTCAAGATTCAAACTTAGATGCTCTGACTCCAAATCCAGGGCTATTTTCATTTCACCAGGCTGCCTATGCCAGTTCCCTGCCCCCTTCCAATCCACCTACTGATCTTCCCTGCCACTGCTTAGCTCAGGAGAAAAGGCTACTTACTGCAGACTCGGGGGAGAGATCAGAAGAGTCTCTATAGGGGAAATGGAAGTCATTTCCAGAAAGCCTCATTTATCTTGATTTTTGTAGAACAAGCTTATGCACTCTCTGGAAAGAGTCACTCTCATGTAATGAAAGCGTGTTTACCTACCTCTTTTTAAATAATCTGTGCATTCTGTCTTCCTAATCAGCTATGTCTTATTAATAGCACTCACATAATCATTTGAAAAGCCTGATAAATCTCCGCCCAAACTCTTTCTCGGTGAACATTCCAAGCCTGAAGGGTTCCTAAGAACCATTTACCATTCTAGAGGATTCTGGTCATTGTGGTCAGGGCCTCATAGGGAGAGATTTATGTGCAGTATATGGCAAGAGCCCAAATAATGGCATTTCTCAGCTATATAATGAGTCAGAAATTTGCTGAGTACAGAAATGCACCTTTAATACAGATAAAGAAACAAAGGGAAAGTAGGTCCTAATCCAATCCCCTTTTAAAGGCATGGGCACTAAAGTGGCCACAATACAATCATGGGATTTATTTGTCAATGTTCTGGAAAATAGTCTACCTCTGGATAATCTGACCTTTTTCCCTAGGTTCGAAGGAAGAGTCAGTATGAATGAGAATGGGTTTCCTCACTAAATACTGACCATGCCCCCAGCCTACCATTACCCTGTTTGTCTTGGTCAGCACCTTGGTCAGAGGCAAGGAGAAGGGTCTGTGAGCTGAATTAGCACTAACATAAAGGGACAGTATTGAGACAAGGGCACCTGAGCTGCACCATGCTGCCATTATGAGTGCATGGAAGAAATGTGGAATGAAAGACTGAGGAAGTGAACCTTTTTTCCTGAGAGTAGCATACTATTATACGTATTGGTTTCAAGTTGCCTTCATGATGTGACTCAGACCCAGGTGAGCTCCAGAGATCCTAGATGGGCATAATCTTTCCTGGGGTGAACACATCTCTGTGAGTCTTTCCCAGGATGCCTGCCCTTGGCCTTGGGAAAACTG